CTTCGGTTAGCATTACAGGTGCTATTTGACCAAAAGTGGATTGGGCTCTTCAGAGTGAACCAATGAGGAGGAACGAGACCAGACTCAAAATCCTAGGTGACACCTTTTGAAAACTCCTAACCAAGCATGTAGGGTTACAGGAAACTGTTCCTGAATGTGTAACTTCTGGGAATGAGTGAATCTATGGCTCTACATATTTTGCTGGACTAAAACTCCCACCACCCCCAATGAATGGGCCCTGTTACCAGGGTACTACAACTATGTCTGGTGGTCCAGAGGTTCCCCACCCCTGGAATAAGACCTCCAACCTTTTTTGGGTCATATCCCCTTAAAGTTAACAGTAACTGAAGCTTTCGAGAGAATGTCTGGGGGGCAACACTATGAGGCCTCGTCATCTCTCCATGGCACCCCAAAGGGCAACTGGGGAGGCGGGCCGAGAAAGGAAAGCAAGCCGACAGTTTTGAAATGGTCCTAAAACCAATCTCTGGGCACAGACAGGCAGCTTGTTCCACAGGAAGGGAAGGGGTGGCACAGAACAAGGAATAAACGCAAGCAGAAGTAGCAGCAGCAGCAGCAGGGAAGCAGCTGTCATGAGTCAGCATGTCATGCAAGTCACATGGGAAGGGGAGAGAGTCCTCTGCCTTGGACACTGCAGTCAAACAGACCCTATCAGCCTGGTCACCCCTGGGATCAGCAGACACAGCCGAGCACCTGAGATATAGTTTTGCCTTCCCATGTTTCATATTCTCTCTGTATGCTTTAAAATACTTCTCTTTAGGAATGTAATTCATCCAGCATTCAGAACATCCGGAACATCTCACGTCTATTATCGTGTGATCACTGCAACACCCCTGTAAGGTGTGGCTGGTGTCATTATCCTCATACTGAGGGCAGAGAGCTGAGGGCAAGTGAGCGCAGCTTGCCTTGGGCCACCTGACGACCTCAGGCAGCAGCCAAAAATTTTGGACCAGGGGCTTCACAGCTTATGCCTTTTACAGTATGTGCACCACACATCTCGGGCTGTTCCTGCCTTGCCAGCCAGGACAAACGACCAGCAGCCTCTACACTTCTCCAGCCAGGTTCCCTGCAGTGTCCAAGGAAACCCCCTCCCCAACGTAGATGCACCCCAGCCCAGCCCCGGATTGCATACACAGCATGCGGTGAAGGGAGTAGAGAAGGGTTAGTACCTGCTGATGTAAAGCACGAGGCCCTGCTGGAAACTAAGACAGGAAAGAGCGAGGGGAGAGGAGACAAGAGCAGAACATCACTAACAGAAACAAGCATCCCCCCGCCACCGCCACCAACTCACTCCTCGGAGTTATCTAGTCACCCTACCTGCCTTCTCAGAACCCCCACAACCCCCCACTGTGCAAGGACCAAGGATAGGGCAATTTCCACCACACCTCTGCCTTCATGGCTGTCTCAGCTGCGCTCACCCAAACAGACATATCCACCCAGCATGCGCTGCAGATGAACTCCTGAGTCAGCGGCGCCTGCAGACAGAGTCAGCCTCCAGGGCTCCCTTTGCCCGGCAATCCCCGAGCCACATGGAAGAACCTGTTTGGCAGCCCCTCAGAGAAGGCCTGGCTACCACCCCAGAGATCTCGCGGCCGAAGAGCAGCAGTGACAAGAGCGGCCACCCCCTTACCTGTCGAGGCTGGGAAGGCGTATTCATTTGGGTAGCTTGCGCTGGGTTAAAAACCACAGGTGCCGTCTGGCCAGGAGGAAATGCTGACTGCTGGGGAGGGGGAGAAGGGAGGAAGAGGAAGTTAGCAGCTTCCGTAGCTGCCCCCAACCCACACCCAAACCCCACCCTCTAGAGAGCAAGATTGGGGTGCGTGGAGAATTTGTGCGAACACTCGGCGCATGCAGAGAGCCTAAGGCAAACTTTGCAAAGGGGGCTCAAGAGGGTCGTCCAATCAAATCCTGCCTTGCAAGGTTGTTTGGACCCACAGTGCAGAACTGACCCACAAGCAAAAGTCAAGAGAAATGCAGAAAGGTGTGTGTGTGTGTGTGTGTGTGTGTGTGTGCGCGCGCGCGTGTGACAACTTGTGTTGAAGAGGAGCCACCAGAGAAGACAAAGCAGCCAATGGAGGTTGCGAACGGGGAAAAGATGAGATAGTTTTTATTACATATTGTAGAACAGAGGGGGACATGGCAGCTTGGGAGGGAGAATCCTTTTACCTGTGGAAGTCCGGGAGAGGGGGAGGGGTGTGGGGCTGATGGGGTTCCTCCTGAGGGCTGTGGAGTTTTGTTCATTTCACGTGGTGCTGCATAAGGATCCCCTTGCTACCTGTTGAGATAGAGAAAAAGAGGCACAGTAAAAACAAGCATGGAAGGAACGCAACACAACTAGAGGCGGAGGGGGAAATTCCAAGCTAAAACTGGACCCCGCAGCAGAATGGAAGGGCAAACAGAAGCAGCCCAAACAAGGATGGATGGTCAGCCCTCCAGACCGCACTTCCACGTAGCATGAGTGGCATTGCACGGACAGATCTCATAGCGCCGCATGACGATTGGATCAGAGAAGAAATGGAACAGCAGCAACTTCAGGCAAAATTCAGGGGAGGGGCTATAATGGATGTTGCCAATGAGAGTCCCAGAGGACTCCTAGGCAACTGCATCTTTTGGTACCAAGATAAATAGCCAGCCCATGTACCTTTATGCTTGTACGCACTTTTTTAGTGGTGCAGCCCCCACCCCACTGTAGACTCGCTCCCTAACCTTATGCCCGTGCATCCTTAGGCAGCTTGATGTTCATCTAGCGCAGAGTGCCTTGGCTTAAATTTCACCTGAAGATGCTCTGTATTGCTACAGAGACACCCACATGGGCCTCCAGCGGCCACACACCTGGTTCCTCCATCTGTTTTAGTGTACAACTTCCATCAGTGCTGCTTGGGGCTGATTGGAGGGCACCTAGGAAGTGCAGGTATCCATTTGCAACTGAAACATTATAACATTAGTACCCATAATTCCCAGAGAAACATAGGACTATCTGATGAATGGCTTCTGTCTTCCTTTCTTCTATGTCTCCTGCTTCTTAAGAAGCTTTTTCAAAAAGTTATCATCTCCCACCTGCCCAAACACAGTATCTGGGGGAAATATTGACTTTTTAAAAATTCTGGGCACAAAACCTTGCCAGCTTGCATTCAGCCCTAAGTTAATCATCTCTCTCAAAAAAAACCAACAACTCTCAGATGAAAAGTTGCTGCGGTAGTGTCAAAAGGGTCTCAAATTGGCTGTAAACTGCACTCTTCTACCCCAATTCACCTGAAAGGCATCCAGCAGAGAAGCTGAGATCAATCCCACCCAGTCCTTGAAGGCAAAGCAGCACCACACAATGAAAGATTCACATTAAAGCGCATGAAAGAGGCACCCAACGAAAAGATGCACTTAGAGATGTACAGTATGCAGAATGCCTTTGGACCAATGTCGGAGCCAAGTCTCTCTAGGTAAGCTGAAGGATGGAGGTTATCCAAGACCCCCGTATGTCTTGAATGCAACTGCTAAGGTGCCGCAGTTTGTTCCACTGATCTATATGGGATATGGATGCATGGGGCTATCAGGGCAGCTATCTTGCATGTCTCTGGCCCCACTTGTGGCCACAGTAAAAAACCATTTTGAGAACCACCCACCTAAGACCCAGACTCTGAATCGACACCAACTCTACTCCCTATCGACTCTTGCTGGCCATTAGACTGTATACAAATAATGTGAGGAAGTCAACCCATTTTCACGGCCTTGGCCTTTGCTCTGGGGCCTTCCACCATACAGGCATCCCTCCACCTCCCGTGTGATTGCATATACACATGGTGCCAGGAAATAAATAAATAGAATACCAGGAAATGGTTAGAGAGAGCTGGAGAGTCCTCGGGGTTCATCAGGAGACCCTCTCTGGAGCCCAGCGAGGGTGGGGGAAGCCCCACAGAGAATGGAGGCACACAGAGACTTTGTTTACACTGTTCATTCTCCCCGCCCAACAGCTCACACACAGGGTAGTGCAGCAGCACCCACCACTTCCCCGCACAGCCTCCAGCCAACCCCGGAGCTTCAACTCTAGATATTTTGTCTGGCCGGCCAAGGACTTCCACAGCGTTTTCTGTCTCCAAACCAGACACACAAATCCAATGCACCATGATGATCCCCACTACCCCCTCACAACACATCCTCCCCACTTTCTCGGTCACTACAAGGGGCAAGTGGGTGCCCCTCACACATTTCCTGCAGAGGTAGGATGCCAGCTCTTCTTGCTATTGTGCTCCCTAGTGCAATAGGCCAAGTCAAAAAGGAACCGTGTTGCAAGCCCACCCAGCATTGTATTATATGACAAAGCAGCCAAATTCACCTGGGTGGGAATGAGGAGCAAATGAGGAGTATGTAGGAGCAGCTCCTACATACGGCAAGAAAAGACCCCCACCCTATCCCAGGTTTGCTCCACCAAGTGCCTGCATGGGCTAAGGTGGGTTTAGAAGCCTCCTAATGGTCTACAACATGGGGAGACACACAAAGGCCTGGGGATCGGATCCAGCCCAAGCGCCTTCTAAATCCGGCCCACGGACGGTCCAGGAATCAGTGTGTTTTTACATGAGTAGAATGTGTCCTTTTTATTTAAAATGCATCTCTGGGTTATTTGTGGGGCATAGGAATTCGTTGATATTTCCCCCCAAAATATAGTCCAGCCCCCCACAAGGTCTGAAGGACAGTGGACCGGCCCCCTGCTGAAAAAGTTTGCTGACCCCTGGTCTACAGGCCTCAGCCTAAGCAAGAGCTAACTGGCTGCAGCTTTCACAAGCACACGCAGATGGGCGAAGGTGCATAGGCCAGGGTGGCAAGGCAGAGGGAACGTGTTCCAGGACGCCAGGCAGTAAACAGTCCTACAGCTGCCCTGTGGAACCTTATGGGAATAGGATCCCTTTGGTCTGGACAGGGGCAGTGCCCTCTCCAGCACAAAGCAAGGTAGAGCCACTCTACCCAAACAGACCCAGAGCCCTGGCGTAACCTGACCCTTGGGCTGCTGCTGTCAGCGTTTCAGGCGACTAAAGACTTTGGGAGAGAGGAGGAAACGTACGCAATGCAAAGGAGGCAAAAAACCAAGAGAGGACCAGGAGGCTTCTGCAGGGCTCCAGTTCAGCACACAAGAACAGCGTGGCCAGATATTTGTGGGGGGGCCTCGCCGAGGGCACCCTAACAAGCCTTTTGATTCTGAAATTTTCCCAGGGCATTGGCAACAACAACAATTAAAAAACTTAAGTATATGTGGTGGTCCTGGGTGTGGGTGGCACATCAGCACTAATTTCTTCACCTCTGCTCAGAATTAGAGCCACCAGGTCGCATAATTCCCTTCTGCCCAGTATCCTCAGCCCTTACTGAAACGGAATACTTTTTTTAAGGACCATAATTTAGTACATACTACGTTTCTGTGTGTGTGTGTGTGTGTGCACGCACGCACGCAGATTTAGGAGAGGGGGAGCAGCCGAAGCTGCACAGACCACAACTGCACAGTTTGCAACAATTATCCCCCCCCCACCTTTGAGCATCTAGACACAGTGTGGTGCAGCATCACGCAGACAGGCAAGGAGGGCGCATGCAGCAGCCCTTCCTATAGGAAGCAGCTCCACACAGCCTGATGGGGCACGTCTGCCAGGAGACACCACCCCAAACAGTTCTGAATTTTCCAGACATGGAAACAGAAGCACCCCCCCACCTCTTGCAAAACCAAACTGCAGGGACAGCCATGCTCCCAGAAAGAAAAGGGGCCAGCCCAAAAAAACTGACGCCAGAGGAGGTAGAGGGAGCTGGATCGTTGCTTTAGGGGAGGCCCAGCTGAAGTAGCTAGTCTCCCCTGAAAAGCCCACGCGAAGTTTTGCAGAGAGTCAGCACCACCCCAAGGTCTGGGGAGAGGCAACTGCGAGCATGAGTCGTTTCCCCGGCGCTCCAAATATGCCCAGTTAATTCTTTAGGCAGGCCAGCTCCCGTGCCAAGCACCCTTCCCTCCCCAAGCCGAGGCATTCTCGAAGAGCAGGCCCAACCCTAACCAACGCCGGCAACGAAGAAAAGATATTTGCTATGCAATTCCTTTCCTCCACCCACCCTGCTCCATGACACCCCCTTCCCAAAACGGGGGCAAGCAGAAAGTCGAGGTCTCAATGTGGAACAGCCTCCCCACCTCACCCCGCCATCCTCAAAACATGCACAGAAAAGATGCAAAATACTCACCCCTAAGTAGGAAAAACCCCAGGCCAGTTTTGCAAGCAGCTGAGACTTTTCATCTGCCAGACTTTGAGAAAACGACAGAGGGTGGTGGGGTGGAGGGAGAATATCAGCCTGCAAACCTGCTGGTGAGCTGCATGGAGGGTCGGGCTTGCCAAACATGGGCAAGGCAGGGGACAGCCCCCCACCCCACCCTGGGAAGGCCAGGAACATGAGTGCCGGGAGCTGCCGGTGGTGTCAGATCGCAGAGTCTGCTGCACTGCAGAGACACCGAGACAGGGAGAGGAGAGAGGCAGGCTGAAGAGAACCAGGGAGCACCCAAAACCCCACCCACAGTCACAGCCATTCGGCCCCGGCACTGCCCAAACCAGTCGGAGAAAATCCCACGCCTACACGCCTGAGTCACTCGCGTTGCACAGGCAAGAGGAGGAAGGAGGCAGGCTCCTGGCCCAGCCCAGCCCAGCCTCTTCCCTCTTGGCAGGACCAAGCAACCAGGCACCCACCTGTGCTGCCAATGCAGGCACGAGACAGACAGCAGAGGAAGTCTGGGTGCTGCGCCATTTCGCGGTGCCTACACCCACAGGAAGCCTCCCTGCGCCCGGGAAGGCGCCCTGCCTCACCCCCATCCCGAAGTGCAGAAGACGCAGGCCAAGGAGAGGGAACTGCACACCCTTCAGACTCTGCCCTTCAAAATCAGCAAGAGCAGCAGTGGCTGGAATGGAGAGGGGCAGCAAGAGGCAGCCACACTTGCCTTAAGAGGGAGAGGAGTAAAGCAGCTAAGGGAATTTGCAAAGCAGCAGCCCTAGTGGGGGGGGGGTTTGACTGGATAGACACTGGTGCAGCTCCTGTCTCAGTACTTCACTAGCTGGGCCTGGGACACTTGGGGTTGCGTGTCCCACGACAACTATAAACACAGCGTGGTTTCAGGCGAGGATCACCCCCAGACTCAGTTCCCCATCTGAAAACTGGGAACAGCAGCGACCCATGCGCCGGCTTGCACAACCGAAGACTGTCGTACACTCTGGGAACTTATAGGAATCACTTAAGCAATCACCAGAAGGTACCATTTCCTCAATGCCTTCTCTCAAACAACCTTGTCCCACCAACAGATGGCTTCTCGTAGCCAAGCTGGCTTCATGAATCTACCTGTAGATAACAGTTCAAGACCAGGTGCATAGCCTGGGAATCATTTTGGACTCACAGCTGTCCATGGAGGCACAGGTCACTTCTATGTCCAGGGCCTGCTCCATTAGAGACCCTACCGGCCTATGCACTCTCTCACCAGTGGTACATGCTCTGACTATCCCTTGTTTGGACTACTGCAATGCACTCTATGCAGGGCTACCCTTGCAGGCGATTTGGAAACTACAACTAATCCAGAATGTGACAGCTAGACTGATGACTAGGAACATACGCTGGGACCATGTAACATCAGCCTGAAAGATCTACACTGGCTCCCAGTATGTTTCTGAGCAAAATTCAAAGTATTGGTGCTGACCTTTAAAGCCCTAAATGGCCTTGGCCTTGTATACCTGAAGCAGCGCCTCCACCCCCATTGTTCAGCCCAGAATCACACTGAGATCCACCTCAGAGGGCCTTCTGGCAGTCCCCTCACTGCAAGAAGTGAGGTTACAGGGAACCAGGCAGAGGGCCTTCTCGGCAGTGTTGCCCTCCCTATGGAAACTCTGCAAAACCGGAAGTGGTGTGGTGTCCCAGTTTGCAAACTTTACCTCAGTCTAAGAACGGAATATGAACGGTGGAAGAGCACCGGCGGCAGGAGGCCTCATTAGGGAAAGTGCACCTCGGTTTAAGAATGATTTCAGTTTAAGAAAGGACTTCTGGTTTTGCGCAGTTTGTAAACTGAATAGTTCGTAAACAGGGCTGTTCTTAAATCGAGGTACCACTGTATAGGGAAGTTTTTACTGTGTTGGATGTTTTGATTTGTTGGAATCTGTTCAGAATGGCTGGGACAACCCAGTCGGATGGGCGACATTTATTTTTATTTTTTTTATTATTATTATTATTAGATGCACAAGGAAAGACTGAAAGCCGCATTCCCATGCTCAAATTCCTACAGAAAACCTGAGAACCCGATGCCTTACAGAGGCAAACTCTCTTCACATGAGACAGAAGACCTCCCCTCTTTCACACACACACACACACGCGCGCGCACACACACACACACACACACACACACAAAGGGACAAGCCAACAGCAGAATCAGCATTGCCTGCTTTAGGCCTGAACCCAACACAGTATGCATGAAACAGACAGCACCACACACTGCACAGAACTACAGCCCAAGCCGCAATTGAAGCATTGACAACAATGCTCTTTTTCTCCCCAATGGCCAGTCACCACTTCTTTCTTTGGTCCCATCGAATGGGCCAATGTTTCTCAAACAAGGCCAAGAAGGGGAGTTTGGGGAAGGTGGGAAAGGTAGCTCAGTCAATAGAGCATGAGACTCTTAGTCTCAGGGTCCTGGGTTTGAGCCCCACATTGCGCAAAAAGATTCCTGCATTGCAGAGGGTTGGACCAGATGCTCCTTGTGGTGCCTCCTAACTCAGCAACTCTGCGATCACGGTTCTTCATTAGCATATCTTAAGGTATTCCAAAGTTTGGGTTGCAACCACACTGAGTCCCTGCTTAAGACATCTCAGGTCTAGAGAACTCAAGCTCCACAAGGGTGCAAGGCAAAAAACTCAGGAGCGGCAAGAGACAGTACACTAAATACATTTTCGAAAGTGAGGACATCGGGACCTGTGTCTGGGAGAAACCCGAGAAGATGGAGGTTCTGTGGGTGGGTGGTTCCTGTGTCCGGGAATTAGGTAGGCAACCAGTTATGAGAGGAGTTGCACAACCCTGAAGGAACAGGTTTGTAGCCTGGGAGAACTCATGGATTCCAACATGTTACTGGAGTTACTCAACATGTTACTGGAGTCTCAAGTGGCTTCTGTGGCTAGGAGTGCTTATGCCCAACTTAGGTTGTTTCACCAGCTATGGAAGTTCCTGGACCAGCCAATCTCAGGTGACCTCCCACCTGAACCACTGCATTGCACTCTATATGGGGCTGCCCCACGTCCAGAGACTGCAGCCAGCATAGTGTGACTGCCAGGTTGGCAAGTGGTCCAACCTGTTGGGATCCCTTGCCACCAGTCCTCCACTGCCTACCAGTGAGCTACCGTGTTAGCACTAAAAGGTTTTGGACTCAAGTTCTTTAAAGAGCGGCTGCCCCAGTATCACCCACTTTGGGGCCCTACACTTGGCAGGGGAAGCCAACTTGGTGGTGGCATGCGGTTGGCATTGACCAGTGGCAGGGCCTTCTCGGTGGCACTTCTCCATTTGGGGAGTGCCCTTCCTCGTGAGGTGTGTAGGTATTCCTTATTAGCCACATCTAGGAGGAATTTTAAAGCGCTCCAGTCTACTTAGGCATTTAATGGCTAAAAGATAACATTCCCAGCAACCCTGAAATTATCAGCTGTGAGATTAGGCGACCGTTTTCAACTATGCTTTTATTTTTTAACTGTTTTATCGCTGCTATGTTTGCAGCCCTGATATCCTTTGAAGGAAGGGCATGATATAAATGGAAAAAGTTGTCCAAAATATTGCAGGGTTGGGAGGAGAAGAAAAGGCTCCGCTACCATCACCAAGGGTAACCATTAAGGTGTTAGCACCAATCCACAAAGATCATTGCCGTCAAAGGGATATGCAGGTCATATTTTTGAAGGGAGCTATTCCAGGACTTTGACCCAACTGCTACCCCAAGCAGTGGGTCCTCCTCTCTCCTGTATTGGAAGGAAAAGACACACTGCTCCCCACAAAAGCCGGCCAGCTGGCTGCTGGCGAATTCACAAGCACCCAAGACTTCAGCCACTCAAGGTCTGCCGGCATCATATCGATTAGCATGGCCAAGCCCATTAAACAAACACCTCAAAGGTTAAAGAGTGCCAAAGCAGGGAGGCGGAGACTTAACAAGAGGCAGCTCCCTTGTGCTCCAGGGTCCATTAGCACATCAAGGAACAAATGGGAGGAGCAGATAACCATTCCCTCCCCAGCCCCCTTTTTCAGCTGTGAATGCTTTTTTCCACCCAGCTTCACCACACCCATGACTGGAGATGACTGGAGCTCACCTCCTTCCTAACAAGCTTTGGAATTAAGAACTCTACTTGCCACATCCCCCCTCTTTATTCCTTGTCAACATCCTGGCTCTTCCTGTCCAGTTAAGACCAGCAATAGCTCAGTCAGTAGGGCACAAGCATGAGACCCTTTAATCTCAGGGTTGTGGGTTCGAGCCTCACATTGGGCATTGCAGGGGGTTGGACTAGATGACCCTCATGGTGCCTTCTACAATTCTCTGATTCCCCCTCTTCTGTCTCCAGATGCTGGCCCTTCCCTGCAAGGGCAGCACAGGGACCAAGCAGCAGCGGACCTTATTGCCACCAGATCCAAATCACACCCGTGCCAGGAATCTGTTGCGTTTTCTGCAAGTCCTCCCATCAGCCACGCATTGGTAGTAATTCTGGCCTACCTTGACAGGATTGCCGCAAAATTGCTGGGGTGCTGAATGCAAAACACCTTTTCCAAATTCTAAACTTTTACAAAAATGCTAAGGTTTGCTGTTGGTGTAGATCCCCTTCCTTTAAAAAAAACAACAACCCAAACCCTAATTGCCAACCAAAGCAAAGCAGCAAGTGAGACAACACCCACATGCGGGAAAAGGAAACTTCCCCGACCTGTTTGTCAAGAGTTGGGGTCCAATGATGATGCAAGCTCCTCTGGGAAGAGACCACAGTGGCACTGGTTATTTCACTGGCAAAAATCAATAGCCACTCTGGCCTTAGGCTGCCCAAATGCTCCCAAACTTGTGAAATCAAAAGGTCAGTCTGCATGGACTAGGTCACCAGCCATCACAAACGACACCCCATTTGGGGGCGGGCATGGGTGAGAGGCACATTAGAATCCTCTTTTGCCAAATGAACTGTGAGGTTCCAAAATTCACCTTGATATATCATGATCAGTACTTGCCGATCGATGGGAAGCGGTGCAAGGCATCTCTGATCTTGCTCCGGGGGGCTTGTCTTTATGCTTCAATGGACAGAACTATGATCCCCAGGATAGAAAAGGCTATTTTCAGTAAAATGGTATGGGAATTTCCCACTTATGTTTTCAGAAACTGAAAGCAAGGCTCTATGAAGGTGGTGGAGCACAGTCAACATAAAAGTTTAGGAACAGTGATACAGACTCCTCCCTTTTAAAAATAAAAAAGAGGGGCACATTTCTCTGCTCTTTCCTCACTTTGAATTCCTTTCTTAGGGTTACTGAGAGTGGCTGGGGAAACCCAGCCAGATGGGTGGGGTATGTATGTATGTATGTATGTATGTATGTATAAATAAATAAATATCATATCATCACCATGTTACACAGCTCTCAGGCACCCAATAAACATTACGTGGAAGAAACACATCTGCTGCACTAGCGTTCTAAATTTTCAGGTGCACAAGCAAGAAGTCTCGGGTGGAAAGTGGGGCTCAGAGAGAACAGTACATGACCTAAAGCACACTAAGGAGGCCTGTAGTGGTGCAAGAGCTTGCAATGTCCAACCCAAAACTTGGGGAGGTTTCTGTGCTAGGACTGAGGGGAACAAGGAAATGAATTCCATCTTTAACAGCAAGGACGGACAGAAGGTCTTGATGCTCCCTCAGAAACGACTTAAGTTTTGGAAGGGGTGGGGACTGTGATGTCCAGGGCAATTGGCTTCACCAGGATCTGTAAGAAACAGCAAGCAACCCATCTATTGAGGATTGGCGCCAATGCACTGCAAATGCTCAGGAGATATGGCATGGCTTCCTTCTCAACCCCTCCACCCTGGTGAAAGTTTTATTTTGGGAATAATTTGTTACAGGGTGCCCTCTGATGAACACCTCCTGCCAGGCCTACCTGGGGTGGCACCCTTTTGATTTGTCACCAGGCTGCCACCATTTTAATTTTTCATGATGCTCTTGATTTAGAATTACTCCAGGCCATTCCAAGGATTTTACATGGCGGCCACCAGTATAGAACACAAAGGGGGAGCATTAAGAGGGTCCCTGGGGACGTTAAGGGTGACAGGCCATGCCAGGGCCCTGGGGCCCATGCCAGCTGCCCAAGGATGCTGCATGGGAACACTGAATTAGCTCACTTGCTTGGCTCATCTGGGCTGTGCTAAAACCGAGCAGACAGCAAATTCAATCTTGCTTCACTTACATGCGTTGCAACCCATGCAATGTAGTTTAACGTGGGGTTGGCATGTTGAGAGTTCTGCCTCAAAGCACTGAAAATGGGCAATAAGGAACAGGTATAATAGGAGTTTAGGAAACGAGGCTGCAGAAATTAATCCAACTGCAGAATTTCCATTTGTGGGTGAACATGCCACAAATGGAAAACCGCCAATGGAGAATGCAAGATGCCCACGACTTCGTAAGTAGCATTTGACAAAGCAGGAATTGTACTCTTTGTTTTGTGGCTGCTTACAGCAGCTTCCTATTCACTGGTTCAATAAAACTTCTTCCACAGGTGCTCAGGCAGGCACTGCAACTGCCCTGACTAGTCTATCTTCCTACAAATCTCCTCTCAAAGAAATACCTTTCTCCACTGAAGCCAACTGCTTAACACAGCTTTCCTTAGCCTGGAGTGCTCCAGATATTTAGGACTACAGATAACTCACAATCTTACATTATTTTACTTGTGTTCACAGCTTTGTGTGGGTGGGGGAAATTAAAAATAAAATGGAGAGCGGAGGAAACCCATTCTTCATTTTATTTATTCCCTGCCCACCATTATGGGCTTACCAGGCAGCCCAGAGCCCTCGCCAGCAAAGGGAGGCTCCAGACTTTGGGGAGGTGGTGCAACGTCTCTGGCATGGTTCTAGATGCCTCCTGCCTCCTCCCCAAAGCTGGGCAAGCACTTACTAGGCTTTGAGAAGGAGGTGGGAGGACTCTAGGATCCTGCCAAAACCCTCACAACAAAGCGGCCACGGAAGGGCTCTGGGACACTGCCAGAGCCCTTTCCGCCTATTTCCTGAAGTTGGGCAAGAGGTCCTCCACCATGCAGGGAGCCTGGTTCCGGAAATTCCTGGCAGTACGCATTTATATACATGGACCCCCAGAAACTAAACCCTGCGTAAGATATGAGATACGTGCACTGCTATCAGGAGAAGATGGGAGCTGCAGTTCAAAACCTCTACAAGGCAACAAGTTGGAGAAAGCTGGGTTAACACCATAACTCCTATCCTAACAAAAATAAAGCCCAAGCACATTTAATCAAATTTGCTCCCCACTGTTCCCTTTCAGACCTTGCTTGTCTCCCTTTCCTTTGACGCCTCCAACTTAAAACTTTTGATCGACCACATCATGATAGGGAAGGGCTCCTAGCTTACTGTGCTTTATTGAGAATGAGCAGCATGGTGCCCTGCTGCCACTGAGAGAAACAAGGCAGGAAGAAACAATTTACCTTGAGTTCTTGCGATGTCTGGACAGGCACCCTGCTTATTTTGCTCCTTTGTTGTTTGCTTGCAAATCCTGTTAAGGGAGCAACAAATTTTTGCCTAATTCTGGAGGGGCATGACTTAGTCCTTAAGAGTTGTGGTATTGCGCTCTCTAATGCTAAGTCTAAGTGCTGCTTACAACCAAAACCAGAAGTCACACACATATTCTGGGTGTCGAAGAGACTGAGAGGCGATATGATAGCCATCTTCAAATATCTAAAAGGTGACTGTCACATGGAAGATGGAGCAAGCTTGTTTTCTCCTGCTCCAGAAGGTAGGACCCAAACCAATGGCTTCAAGGTACAAGAAAGGAGATTCTGACTAAACTTCAGGAAGAACTCTCTGAGTGAGAGCTGTCTGAGAGTGGAACAGACTCTCATGAGAGGTGGTGGACTCTCCTTCCTTGGGAGGATTTTAAGGAGAGGTTGGATGGCCATTTGTCACATATGAACAAGTTGAGATGCCTACACTGCAGGGGGGATTGGACTAGATGACCCTTGGAGTCCCTTCCAACTCTACAATTCAACGATTCCAACCCATTATTCTTAAACCTTTCATATCTTCCGTCACTTAACAAAAGTATAACAAGATGGTGCCCTTTTATGCAACTTCTCAGCAGATGCCCAACTGGCCTTCGACAAAAGCACTCCAAAAAGCAGCCTGCTCCAGATCTAAACAGACTTAGGTCCCATCTCCTAACATCTAAGTCCTTTCCCCTAGATCCCCATTTCAAAAGGGAATGATGGTATTGGAATCCCAAAGCAATGCTCTGTCCTCGTGTTCATTTAATGCAGTTCAGTTACTCTGCCAACTGCGCTGTTGTTTTCCCAGCAAAAGCAGATATTCTCCCATCCTTTCAAAGAATGTTTATGGGCAAAACAAGGATCTAGGAGTATTGTTGTGTTCTGGTGACTGCAGATATGAAACCTCAAGCTGCTTGTTTTATCTGCATTGATGTAAAAACATCTAGGCACTTCTCATACATTACCTTAAGTGACCCTGGCAACTGTTAGGTTAGTTATCACACCGCAAATTGCAGATATACAATCAAGAGGACGGCACAAATTAAGGGAGGATGGGCCTATCTCTGGCTATTAGTTATCACTGCTATATGAAACCTGCATCTGAACACTCAAGGCTGTCAAACTTGTAGGCACTGGAAGAATCCAGTTGTCCAGGGTGAGAACAAAATGCTGGATTTGAAGATTGTTCACTCATTTGGGGTTGAGGGGAGGCCAATACTGGCTTGCGTAAGTTTTGAATCTGGGACTTCCTGGCTCACACTTCTACTCTCAACACTTCACAACTTCTCAAGGTAGGTAAAGTTAATATTCCAGATTAACAAAAATTACAAGGGAGCGCTCTTGTGCCTCTTGCCTGTGGCAGTATCATCGTTTCCTGAAATGCCTTCTCCAACAAGGGATTTGGGAAGATAAAAGAAACCTGGAGAGGCAGGATTCTCTCCAGATGATGAAGTGGGGAAAGAGGAAGCATTTTGCACCTCCACCCTGTCATTAGTCCCTGAAGGCAGAACTTTGTTCCTTCTTCTCTGTGACAGGAAGTGAACATGGAACAGAGTGCAACAGGCACCATTTCTGAGGGAAGTTAATTGAGGGAGAACCTTTCCGGGTGAAAGGGAAAGTCTTGAGAATATAAACTGCTCTTCTGAACTGCTTAAGGGTGTTTTAGGACTTCTGTATAGGGAATTCTACAAACATCACTGCATGCAATGAGCAGTTGTGTACTCCACCAGTATACAGACTGACCAATTCAGGCTTTTTGCTGCATTCAGATTCAATAAAAAACAAAACTTGACCATTTAACACACACACACCACTATGTGCCGGGGTACATACAATTCTCTACACAGAAGCTACTGTCCATTACAAATCTTTATCTCGGATGAATGACAGGTAGCGTGGTTAAAATGAACAAACTTGTATCCTTGGATTCAGAAGACCTGGGCTGAAAACCCAGCTTGGCCACAAACTCACCAAATGGCCTTGGGGAAGTCACACTCTCAGCCTCAGCTCCTAAACTGCGTAATGAAAACATTAATATTTAGTATTTATGTAGCACCTTTCCACATTTTATCTCAGTATTTATCAAAAATAGCAACAATGTAAGGTAGGTTAGCATTATCCACAAATGTCTGAGGCTTGACAAAGGCCTCCCCTGCGAGTGACTATGTATTACATTCATATTCTGCCTTCCGTCCATCATGGAATATGGTAGATGAGGGGCTTTCAGGTGGTCCTCCATCCAAGCACTGATACAGACCTGCCTTCAGAAAGGCATCCTGTGCCTTTAAGATTGTGCAGAGTGAGATTTGAACCAGGACCTTCATGGGTCACAGCTTAATCCTGTAACCACTTGCAAATGCCAACAGTGAAAGAAGATAAGCACAGGGGACATGTAACATGCTAGACAACAAGGGGAAACCGCTTTGGATAGAGGGGAAACTGCTTCCCAGAGGACAAGGCCAGTAGCTGCCCCACAGTATAGCCCCAGAAGTACAATGGAGGCATCAAACTAGGAAACCACTCAGTTTGACTTGTGATTCTTACATTTGCCCAGTGATATGGTGGGGAAACGGGACGCGGGTGGCGCTGTGGGTAAAAGCCTCAGCGCCTAGGGCTTGCCGATCGAAAGGTCGGCGGTTCGAATCCCCGCGCCGGGGTGTGCTCCCATTGCTCGGTCCCAGCGCCTGCCAACCTAGCAGTTCGAAAGCACCCCCGGGTGGAAGTAGATAAATAGGGACCGCTTTCTAGCGGGAAGGTAAACGGCGTTTCCGTGTGCGGCTCTGGCTCGCCAGAGCAGCGATGTCACACTGGCCACGTGACCCGGAAGTGTCTTCGGACAGCGCTGGCCCCCGGCCTCTTGAGTGAGATGGGCGCACAACCCCAGAGTCTGGCAAGACTGGCCCGTACGGGCAGGGGTACCTTTACCTTACGGTGGGGAAACATGGTGGTAGTTCCTCTTCATTTTGACACTTCCTGCTCCTGGGCAGAGCTTGCTCCTATTTTTTTTATTTTTATTCTAGAGCTTAGGAATTTGAAATATTTTCCTAGCCCTACTTTTGAGGGACACACCCATGTGTTCTGCAATTATAAAGAAGAGCCAGAGTATTCCTCCATTACAGAAGGCTATGCAGAAAAGTGAAGCAAGTCTTCAGATGTGAACTGAGCACCCTTATTCCCTGACTCCCCTCACCCTTTCACTTTACACAAACACACTCCCAGACAAAATAGAAGAGAATTCCACCCACCACCATTGCCAGAAGCAACCCAATGAAACGCAGTTTAGCATGAAATGCAAACGTGGACTGTTCCGATACAAGCCTTCCACCCTCCCCTGTAGGGCAAACTACATAAAACCAGGAAATGTGCAATCGAGGTTCAAGATGTCCTCCCTCTCCCACACTTTCAGAGACAGTTGGTGTTACTCCACACAGTAAGATCTCCTTTAATCACCATCCAAACCCACCATGACAGCAAGCCGCCTTCCTAAAAGGAAAATGCGCAAACAAGTGGCAGCCTTTCAGGGACTGAACAAACAGATTAATATGGGTTGTTGTTGTTTTCAAAATAAAAACCCAACAACTCAACACAACAAAATCTGAAAGTTTAGATGTGCACAAGTAAAACTGGGTTGCTTAAGAAATTGCTGAGTAATTTTTAAGTCTGTTCTAGGCGGTAAGAGGACTAACATATGTTTGGGGGAAAGAAGGCACAACCAATGTGCGCCGGCGTGGGGAGGGGGGAACAGACGCAAAAACTAACAGAGGGCACAAGACAAAGGAGATGCAGAGGTTTATTTACCCTCCGCATTTATTTTATTTTGTACAAAGGGCCGGAAGGCAAGCATGAAGAGCCATCCATTGGGGAAAGGGCAGCAGCCGGCGAATAAGGGCGGGCCAGAAAATATTTCAGAGAAGGGGGTGCCTTAAATACAAAGCACCAAGATCCCCACCACCACCCCAAGCCCTTTCCCCCCCTCTCCTGCTCTGCAAAAGCCCCAAACCCAGCCGCAACCGGAAAGCGAGGGGTAAAGGGAATTTGGGTGGGGGGGTTGGAGAGAGAAAGGACCCGGACGCACCTCCGCCGGTGGCACATGGGCGCAAAAAAAAGAGAGCCCCAAACCTCGAGACCTTCCTCCTCCGGGGGTGGAGGGTGGCCTTTCTTCCCCTCCGAGGTTCCCCCGCGCGTCGCGCCGGCCAGGATGGCAAGCAGGAAGCCAGGCCCCGGCCCGCCTGCTCCAAGGACACGTGTCCTAGCCGGGCGGCCCCCAGGGGAGGGAGGGAGCCGCGGCCCACGCGGTGGCGACTGCCGGGCGCCCTGCGCGCTGGCCGCAAGAGCGCCCGCGGCGGGCGGCGAGAGAAAGGCAGGCGGGCGTAGCGCGGCCGGGCCCCGTCCCCGCACCACCGCCGCCGCTTCCGACCGTACCCGAGTTGCGCCGCAAGCACGTGGGGCTGGCCCGGTTCTCGGAGGCGGACGCCAAGCACCGGCGCGGTAGCAGCCACAGCCAGCGAGGGAGGAGGTGGAGGGAGCGGAGGAGGTGGAGCCGCAGCAGGGCCAGCCCCGACGGCGGCCTAGGGCAGGGCGAAGTGAGCAAGGAAGGAAGGAAGAGGCGAACACGTGGGCCCAGCGGGATGCAGGCACCGGGCGGGCTTCGGGCCTACAAGCGGGGTGGGAAAGGCCGATCCGGCGCCGCAGGGTCCCTGCGCGCGGCGAGTGCTCCGCAGATGTGGGCGCGCAGCTGCATAGCAGCCATCGCCCGGATTCCGCCCCGTTCCCACGTGCGCAGAGGCCACGGAAGGGGAGACCCTACCGGGTGCGGCTGCTTGGAATTTTAGAGGAGGGTGCACCCACGCCCCAATACCACTACAGAACGGGGCGATCCTAAGCTTCCCGGCTTCGCCTAAAAGCGGGCAGCTGCTGCGCCGGTGAGCCCCGTTAAGGCGTGCACCCACCCACAGCACCCCTGATATGTTTGGATGCAAGAGTGAAGATCTACATTTCCCAGCGTGTTCCATAAATTCAGACCCCCGCAGGCCCTATGCATTTACGGCAGGGCCATTCCGAACTGAACGGGGTGCTTACCTATGCCAAATGAACCAAAACACTGCATACGAAGCACGACAGTACTTAGATACCACAGGTTATGCGGGGTCGAGAGTCCTGCAGGTTTCAAACGCGGGGTGGGGTGAGAGGAGTGCCACATTTTATGAGGTCGTATACTGGGACTGGAAACTCCGGAGGCGGTTGGGGAGGGGGGGTCGCAGTTATCGGCAGATCTGAGCCCGTTTCAAAGCATATGGAGCGGGGTACAGGATTCAGGAATCTAAATACACCACCACATTGTAAACCTCTACAGAGGAACGCAGGCAGGCCTTGTAAGTAAATTACTGAGCTCAATGGGTTTTACTTCCAAGGAAATGTATATACAATCGGCAGGCACATCACAGCCTTATATGGGGCAGGCGCATTTCAGAGGAGTGGCTGTTTTGTTGCATAATATCGGCCTTCTCCAACATGGGCAAACATCACTGTAGTCCAAAACATCCAGGAGGTGACTGGTCCTCTCCATAAAGGTATTCTGTCTGGGGACATTCAGTCCTATACATGCACAATAGGAGACTGGAATGTCACAAGCATGTACCAAAACAATTGATTCCTGCCTATATGTACTAAGGAGAACAAAAGCTTATGTGCCAGAAGATCTTCAGATGTCCACTCAAGGTTATGCAGCTTTCACCTCCCTTTTATTCAGGTTCATTAATTAAGTTATTTTAATCTATGTTATTTTACAGAGTTCAGAAAAGGGCTAGATTATGGATTAAACTACCAAAAAGGCATAGTGGTAAATCCAAGGACACCCCGTAGTTACCTTGAACTCTATAAGGAAAAGTGGAGTAGAAACGTTTTAATAAGTGATACCAACAAAACTATTGTGGAAAGAAAGAGAGGAGGGTGTTAAAAGATTTGTCAGGGACAAAGTTGCAATTCAGTGGAAAGCAGGATCGGACCTCCAGATGCAGTCTAAATGGCTCAGATGTAAAGGAACTCAAAGAGAAATAATCATAAGGAAATGAAATAATCTATAAGTATAAGAACCTTATAAAGGTCCAGTCTTGTATTTTAATAGTCCAAATAGGATGGGGGCTAGTTGAAGATATTAAATTTCAGGCCTCAGAAGAGCATAACCTCATAAAATACAAGCTGCCAGTACATTTTGGGACAGACCTGGTTTGTCTCATGGCTACTGGCCAAGAAGGGAACCTGGTTTAAGACCTCAAGCTATTTAAACTCAAGTCGCATAAAATTAAAGCTCAATCTCCATCAAATGCTACAAATATCATAAATATGGCATATAGGGGCAGCTGGAGGCCTTAGAAGCTCCACACTTCCTTCTAAATTGTGGAAATGGTGCCCTAAATACAGTGTGTGCTAGATACTGGGCTCTATAGATAAGCAGGGAGGGGACTTTAACAAGGTCTAACTGTACAGAAATGAGTTGGTTGATAGTTTCAGCAGCAAGTAGAATTATATGAGATAGCAGCTGGTCTCAACTTTAGACACTGTAGTACTGCGCTAGCATGCCAAAGTTGTCATGCAACTAAGCTCTAGAAGGCCCCTTTGGTTTCAGGTATCCTTTCAGAAAATGTGATTTCATGTCTTAAACAGTGCACAATTCATGGGAAGAAGGGATTTGTTGACCCCATACTTTGTGGGAGAGAATTGATTGTGGAGCTCGAAATTCTGTTTCTTCAGTAATTTTGATTAACACTTTCAGAGTGCAAAATTATTTAGAAATCATGTTTTATTCATGTCACACTGGCTTCAGACTTTGTTCACACTGTACTTATCTAGAGTTAACTGTACGTATAGCAGAAACCCTAAAGAAGCTTGCATAGAAAGGCCTTGGGCTCCATAAATATTATACAGATTGTGCAGCAGAGGGGTCTGTTTATTATAGTGTTTGCCCATTGGAAAGACACTGTTTTGAGTTCCTACTGATAGTTATGCAAGACTGGCTATGCTTCTAGAACACAGGCCTCTCTTCCGGGCTCATATGCAGTTTGAGAGAGGCCTAGTACCTGTACTAAGGCCCTATAACAGCAGCACATATAAAGGGCTCAAGTTTTAGGGTCAAAATCCTCCTCAGTACCTGGATAGATAAGGAAAGGCTCCTCTAAGTTTCAGGGCGTTCTCCGAAAGGAGGCTGGCTATGAGGGTGGACCTTTGTCCCCCACTACTGGTCTGTGCCAAGGGCGTATTTACTTGGAAAGCTCTCGTTCTTAAAACACAGCTTGAGTAAGATGCAGGGCAAAAAATAAATTTACTGCTTATTAAAATACAGGCACCACAGGCATGACCTATAGGAGACTAGGCTGCCTTGTGGAGTTTGCATTTGGGGTGGGGAGCGAGAGAAAGGGCTCGAATTCAGGACCGAAAAACCTCACATCTGTTCCAGGTGCGGAGACGTTTTAAAAACAAGATACTGGCGTTATGTGAAAGAAAGGTTTGTTTGTTGGAGCAGACAGAGCCTCAGAATGAGAGGCGTAGCTACGAGGGGGCTAGCCAGGCTTTTTTTTGGCCCTGGTGAAGCCCCCCAAGGGGAGCCATTGAGGCTCTCAGCCTGCGTGTGTGTGCCCAAATGCGCGTGCGAAGAGATACCAAGCCGGGTCTTTGACCCGGGTGAAATGGAAGCCCAGGTTCGCCCCTGTTCGGAAACACCCTTTCCGTAACCTTGCGCTTCGCACGCACGCGAGGAAGCCGAGAGAGAAGCGCCGTCTGCACGCGCCCAGGAGCACCCTGCGCAGGCCCGAAGGAACCGGGAGCACAAAGGCCGGCTCCACGCTCCCAGAGAAAGCCTAGTCAGCGGGAGGAGGAACCGGGGAGAGGCCGGGTCTCTCTCCTCTCTCCCGGCAGCCGCCCTTCACCCGGGCGCGGGGACCACGAGGCCTAGCCCGGCCGGCGTCTCCTTCCTTCCTCCTCCCGCCCCACGTGGTGCTCAGGCGAGGCCTCCGAGGGCCAGGCAGGCGGCCGGGTAGGCGAGGGGGCAATGGCGGCCGGAGCCCAGTCAGGGCGCGACGAGGGGGGGGGAATGCCCTCGTCGCGGGAGGGGGGCAGCAGGGGGAGGAGACCGGCGAGGCCCCGCCTCGATCCTCCCACCCCCCCCCACCGCGCCAACCGCGGCCTACTCTGGCTTTCTCTCTCGCGCCCCCCCCCGCCGCACCTTCCCCCCTCCCCCCACCGCGGTTACCTTCAGTCTCCTTCAGTCCGGGGAGCGGGGCCCGACGCAGCCGCAGCGCAGCCCAGCACGACCATTTCCGGAGCCGCTCTCCGAGGGGAGGGGCGGGGCAAGAGGAAGGGAGGAGGAGGAGGAGGAGGGTCGGTCACGGGGCGAGGGAGGACGGCGGCGAGGGGGCGGGGCTCGCCTGAAGCCTCTCAGGGGGAAGGGAGGGAGGTGGGGCGAATTGGGAGGGGTGGGGTGAGTTGCCGCCCCGCCTTCGTCACGTGGCTCGCGCCATGCTCTGGTATTGGGGGACGGAGGGGAGAGAAAGAAAAGAGGCGGTCAGGTGACCCCCGCGCGGTCGGCGCGGCCTTTTGGGCACGTGACCTCCACGCGAGGCAGGGAGGCGGGCGGGCTGGCCGGCCGGCGCGCGCACCTGCGTCACGTGGCGGGGAGAGGAGCTTCCGTTTCCCCTTTCCTTGTCGAAAAGCGTTCTTGCCGCCGCCCGGTGCCACTCTATGGTCGTGACACGTGTGGGTGGTGGGGGAGGGGATCGGGCCCGGAGTAGTTTCTCGCTCTTCTTAATGAATAAGCACAGGGAAATCAATATATAGAAGTGTGTTTGTATATATGTACATTATAAACACACACACACGCACAACAGTAATTTCGGAGAGCAATAATGTTTTTATTCTATTAATGCTTAGTTGTTTTTAATTATTTTTTTCTCCATGTACGCCGCCTCGAGACCTGATGGGGGAAAGCTGCGATATAAATAAATGCACAATAATTATACTAAACATCCCAGTGTTCCAATAGGACTGGCCCTACCAGCATACGTAGTAACAGGAGCTGCTGGTGGCTTCAGGCTTCCAAGGGCGGCGTCAGCTCATTCTTCTCTTCCACCTGGTTCAGAATGCGATGCTCCCAGCCAATGATTGACTGACATTCTGTCGGTGGTCCCTGCTGTTCCCTTACTGCCTCCACCCCGCCTCTGGATTTCCTCATGGCACCTTTGTATCAAGTTTAACCCACAAGAGCTAAATGGAACTTCTAGGTTCAGAGGCACTCTGATCCCAGATAGCAGGTCTTGGATGATAAAAACATATACGAGGGTGCCTCTGAAGTGTGTCTGAAAACTTCAGTTGGCAAAGAATGTGGCAGCAAGGGTGCAAGTGGGTGCTTGGGCACGGGAGCTCATTATACCTTACAGCAGCTGCACTCATTGGTTGGCAGTTTGTAAATGGGCTTAATTCATGCTGGTCATTACTTCTAAAGTTCTAAATGGCTTGAGTGCATGCTGACTGAGCAGCCATCTCCTGTTTCCAACTGTTCACTCTTAACACCTTCCCTCCAAATATTGCTTCTTTCTAAATCGGTTTGTTCCTCTCCCCCCTCTCCCTGGCCCTATTCAAAAACACATAATCTCTAGGGGCATTTTCTCACTTTTCCCTCAACTCACCTCTATGACTTGGGCTCACAAGGACTAAGCTCCAACTAATAATAAACTGCATGGTGATTTAAAAGTGAGTAAATTATGTACTTATTGACTGACCCTAGACAACAAGATTGCATGAAGATACTCTGTGCAAATATGCTGGTTTAAAAATAATGATTGTTTCCTATGAAAGATCTACCTACCTGCCAAAATGGCGTAATGAAGCAGACAGTAATGAAAAACATCAACTGACAGTGCCCTGCAGATATTATGCTGGCCTTTGCTTGCAGATGTTGAAAAGTGCCCTCTCTTGGACGTAAGTTTGTATGCAGAGGAAAGGAAAGGCCATGAACCTGCCTGAACCCAAAGCCATCAAATGTTCTTTTAGACACTTGTGGAATTTGAACAAGCTAGAGTCAGAAAGGACACTTTTTAAATAACATAGTACATCCGTATCTTGAATTCTGGCTTTGATCAGCAGTTGAATCCAATTGTCAAGAGATGCTTCAAAATCACACTGTTGGTTAGTCAGCAAGCAAGATAATTGCTAAATGTTGCTTATGGTGACAGATAACGATGCAGACACTCTGCAGTAGTCATCTCACCCCACCATCCTCTCGCAAAATGAGCCTGAGCATGAATGAGCTGAAGTGTTTCTTTCATATGAGATCATGCTTATTCACCATCACCCAGTGTTCAAGTCAGGAGGGACGGTTAGTCTTTTCTGTAGCACTGACTCATGTAATTCCCTTTTCTTCCCTTCAGCCACCCATACTACCTCTGCAAAAAACCTAGCCCAGAGTCAGATATGAAACCCACTCACTCCTCTGCCGTGCGTTTCTGTTCCCTTTTGATTTGTAAGGTTTGTGTTCTGTCCCCAACTACTAAAAACTCCTCCTTTCTTGTCATTCACTACATGAGGGGTGGGGAACCTTTTTTTCTAAAGAGGGACACATTTCCACAGGGGCCGGGTAGGCAGCGTCAGAAGTAGACGTGACTTTTCTTTCTGCCACCTTTGTATTTTTTTCTACCATTACTTTCCTCCCTGTTAGCAGTGCTGCCAGAGATTGCTCTTACAAGAGATCTGAACTCATTGCCTAAGCTGCAGTATACAGATGCTCAAGAAAACTCCTTGCCAACATCAGGACCCCTACGAACTGAGATAAAACAGGAAACACAGGCTATGTCAGAATCTGCAGACCGTCTGGTGAACTCTTCAAACAAAAGACGAGGAAAAAGTAAGATTTCTAGCAGTTATGGATCAAGAGCCTTCATGAGCCATTGCCTGCTCCTCTTTTCACCTCCCTGGCCAGCAGACTCAAATGTAAATTTGAATAAGCTCACCACAGGGTCCCAAAAAAATGAGTGTCTACCATTTAATTGTCCCAACATTTGGTTTCTTACATGCCAAACTTCTGGCTTTTGCATTGCTCTATATAGCAAGTGATTCTTAAGCCTTGGCATGATGTCCTCCCGAATTTATTTTTTTTAAAAAAAAGAAATGTAGACACCCAAGGTATATAATAGCAGAGATAGTCAGTATCAGGATTTAAGGAAAGGAAGTAGAAAATAAATCCCCCAGCCCCACAGCCATGAGGGGAATAATAGAGGAGATTCCATCTGCTTACTTTCTAATCAGTACAATGCATATACAGTGGTGCCTCGCAAGACGAAATTAATTCGTTCTGCGAGTTTTTTCGTCTTGCGAATTTTTCGTCTTGCGAAGCACGGTTTTGGAAGTTTTGGAAAAGCTTCAAAAATCACCAAAGTCTTCAAAAACCTCAAAAAAGGCTACCACACCGCATGCTATGAGTTGCTCCTCGAAGTCAAGTAGCAACTGTATTAACGGTTTTAAGAAAAAGGAAACAAACTTGCAAGACGTTTTCGTCTTGCGAAGCAAGCCCATAGGGAAATTCGTCTTGGGAAGCAACTCAAAAAACCAAAAATCCTTTCATCTTGCGAGTTTTTCGTCTTGCGAGGCATTCGTCTTGCGAGGTACCACTGTAGCTGTGTGGTTAGCAAGGATGACTTATCTTGTGACCTACAGCTATTTAAAAAAATGCCTCAGTTGATGTATTTCTAATAGTGAAAGAAAGGTACAATTTGGCTATTTAGGAGACTGGTGCAATACATCCTTTTGCGATTTCTGAAAAGTACTTACAGCCACAATGGGATGTGTGTGTGTGTGTGTGTGTATAATTATATATATATATATATACACACACATACATGTTTTAAATAGTATTCCCTGATCAAATGAATCTACAACATATTAAACTTGAAAGGCGCAGCGCTGGAAAAGGTGCAGGGAAGAACAACCAAAATACTCACAAGCCGTGCAGCAACTTCCCCTGCAAGGAGAACTTAAAACATTTGGGGGCTATTTTGTTTAGGGGGAAAAATCAAGGGAGGGGGAGACACAATAGAAGCCTATGGCATGGCGAAAGTAGCTTTTTCTCCCTCTTCCAAAGCTAGAATCCAGTACAGCAGAATGGTGGGAGATGCAGGACAGACTTCTTCACATGGTGCAGTTAAACTCTGGTATTCTCAAAGATGTGGTGGTGCCCACCCATTTACATTGTCTAATCCAGACATGGCCAAACCACTGGTCCTGTTAGCTAGGGATGATGCGAGTTGTAGTCCCAAAACATCTGGAGGACCAAGTTTGGCCAATCTGTTTAAACTAACTCACCAAATTAGTTTTATAAATGGCTATATGATGCTCGGGGTGGCCGCCGAGACCACATAACACCGGTCTTGAAAGACCTACATTGGCTCCCAGTACGTTTCCGAGCACAATTCAAAGTGCTGGTGTTGACCTTTAAAGCCCTAAACGGCCTCGGCCCAGTATACCTGAAGGAGCGTCTCCACCCCCATCGTTCTGCCCGGACGCTGAGGTCCAGCGCCGAGGGCCTTCTGGCGGTTCCTTCATTGCGAGAAGCAAAGCTACAGGGAACCAGGCAGAGGGCCTTTTCGGTAGTGGCGCCCGCCCTGTGGAACGCCCTCCCATCAGATGTCAAAACGATAAACAACTACCTGACATTCAGAAGACATCTTAAGGCAGCCCTGTTCAGGGAAGTTTTTAATGTATGATATTTTAGTGTTTTTTGGTTTCTATGGAAGCCGCCCAGAGTGGCTGGGGAAACCCAGCCAGATGGGCGGGGTACAAATAATAAATTATTATTATTATTATTATTATTATTATTATTATTATTATTGACACAGAGACAGCATCTGTTTCAACCTCAGAGGGGCTGGAGGACCCAACACACATCTAACCAATGTCCAGGGGGCACAGAAGTATTTATGTGATGTGCTATCTTGCATCATCTTGCCTTTATCAGCCTCCCAAGATGCCAGCTTCCACCCACTGCACTCTGCCCTCATTTTGACACCTGTGCTGTTAATGCTGGGACAAGCCGATGCCAAATCAGCCCCTCAGCACTTCTCTGGTGAATTAATGTGGAGATGGGGATGCCATAGGCTACAGAGGCAACCGAGGGCCAGGCAAGACCTTTAGGCTTTGTGCTCAGGAGTCCTGCTGTAGTCCAGCACATTTTGAGTTGAAACATTTCTTCAGGCAAACCTACTTCATCTGATTCTGTAAAAATGTAGGATAGCACAGCAGCACCATATGATTATCATATGAAGATTCCCTTGAGTTTCTATCCAGCACACAAAAGATCACAGCAGTTTACTAGCTCACCCATACATGGTCTCCCATTGTT